CAGAGAGCCTCAGATCCTGCTGAACCTCCCTCATCTCTTTTGAGTATGAACGTCTCACACAGGTTCTTCAATGCCAAGTTACAAGGTGGATCACGCTGTAAATGCGTTCCTTTACAAACTGGACACTCCAATACTAGTTTCCCTCTCCACCAACTCTGCAGACAGTCTTTACAGAAGCTGTGGCTACATGACAGGACAACAGGATCTTTGAAGATGTCCTGGCAGACAGGACAGGACAGATCCTCTTCTAATAGAGAAGCCATATTCTCTCTAAGTGAAGATGGAAATAAAGCAGGTACACAAATAAAACACACTGTCCACTTTAGAACTATTTGAAAATACTTTGCTTTTAGACTTCCCTTTTAGCTCTCATACACCTTTCCAATATTCCAGTACTCACTATATTGTTCCTTCCTGTAGCTGTTTTCCCCCAGCGGACGTCCTGGCTTTGCTTTGAATCTATGTCTCTCAGTGTCTGTATCTCTCCTCAGTGGAAGGACAATAATCTGCATTTCTTGGTTTGTCTCAGGTGAAGTGAGTCAGGTAAGGGGTGGAGCTTTTTTCTTTGTCCCAGGGTTCCAGTTTCTCTTTTCACTGGGTGTTATAAAGTGACATAAGGTCCACTGGCCCAATCGGCTTACAGACTTTGAAGAAGAGGAAGAGATGTGTACATAATGTGCCTATTCAAAACCTGCCCAATCTAACAATGAAACCACAGCACTCACTATACAGCTCTACACTTTTAGTTTTACTTCTACTTCTGTTTTCATTGTTATATAAATGACTATGAGATTTGTACAGAAAATAGTGCTTGAGGAAAGGTCATGAGGTCTTTAAAATCAAAAGATTTCATCATTTTGAGGATGTGAATATCTAAAGAAAATGTATTTAGTCCGACAGAAGTTGTTGAGATAAAGGACTGACTAAAAGGTTCAGTGTGTGGGATTTAGTGGCATCTAGCACTTGTTTGACTCTCTCTTTCCAAACGCGAGGGAGAAACTATGGAGGCTGCAAAGTATGCAAAGAAGCGAACGGCGCTTCAACATGGCAGTTCAACATGGAGGCTCCCACGGAAAGCGACCCACGGCCTCTGTAGATAAAAACAATTCTTATTTTCAGGTGATTATACACTAATAAAAATTAATATTATATTACATTCA